GTGGCTTGGGTGTCCCCCTGCGGGACATAGGGTATGGATCTCAGAGAGTGATTGAAAGCACTCTCGAGGATGCCTACTCCTGTGTCCTTGAAGGGACCTCCTCCAAGAAGATCACCTTGGCTATCACGGTGCGTTGCATTCAGTATGCCTTGGATGGATTGTGACTCAAGTTCTGTCTATTAGTGGCCGGGTTATGCACACCTTGGGGAGAAGAAGTATACCTTTGTGACCCCGTCCACGAAAGTACAACTGGCTTGTGAGATTGGACACGCTTTCAGCGTATTTCTCCATGTATGTCATTTTCGATTGTGATGCGGTCGCGACCTCGCGTTCCATTAGTGGCTTGAGTTTGCTCATGTGACCGCGTTTTTGCCTAATCTAGACCCATGGGAAATTCGAGCAGTGTGGCAATGGTCAGTCTGAGCTTTCGCTCAAGGCAAGCCGCATCGGCGTCGAAGACATAACTCTCTTTCGCCTTCTGAAGCGCGAATGCGAGAATGTCTTCGAAGCTGAGATTGGCCTGTCATAAGCGAGATTCATAACAAGTTGGTCACAGCTCGGGCCGCTTTGACACTGCAAACGCAAGCTCATCAAGCCAGTATTCAAAATTACTTTCAAGACAGGACGACCGGAGAAGCTCTTCATCCACAACTTTGCCCAAGACAACGGGCCAAGACACTCGTTATTACGTTCTGCCCACGACACTGAGTGCTCTGTGTAGGCTCACTCTTAGATTATTATCGACGCAGTCGCACATTGGATGTAACTTGTAGCAATTAGAACAGTTGTAGCTTTAGTCAGACATCATACATCCATTATTTTATCAAGTTATTGGCCAAGGCTGCATTCGACTTGAAACTTGAGAATTAGCTGCTCTGTGAAGATGCTAAATTAAACGCTAAATATCTTCTTGGTAACGTACAGAGTTATGATACAACACGCGTAGGTATACAACTCTTGAGGTAGGACGTACCAGCAGTCCAGCTTCATGCGCCTTCCCCGCCGCCTTTCTTTTTCTTCTCTTCCACTTCTACGACATTGTCGCTAGGCACACCCTTTAAGATACCAGCGCCTTCCTCGATCATTTCCACGATGTCTCCGGAAACATCGCCTTGAACAACGATCTCGTCAAACCCTTGCACGTTCTTAGTCACAGACGCGCCTGTGGCGAACTTCTGTGCGAAGAATTTTGCCGCTTTCTTGAGATCGACATCTGCGGTAAAGCATGAGCACGCGATGGCGACGATCCAAGACATCGACGCACCAAATGCCTCGAGACCATGAACAGCTGTGACGAACTTGCGCTTGTTTCGCTCTATTCGCTTAATCGTTACCTGCGCATCCACGCAGATGTATAAGTCACATGTGTCAGAATCATTGCAGATAGCAACCACTCACTTGGGATGCCTGGATAGTCCCAATATGAATCATGCAGGTGAAGAGAATCAGTCCCTAGGGCAAATAATCAATGATACGCACCATCTTTTTCTTCCGTGCTGCCTCTGCCTTAGCCTCTGCTTTCGCCTCCTTAGCCGCCGTATCCTTCTCGAGTTTCGATTGCGCTTCCAGACTAAGTGTCCCGACCTTTGTCTGCAGCGCCTCTAGATATAAATGCCAGGTCGATTTACTCAGAAACGGTCAGGGGGAAAGGGAAGAACAAACGACGCACCTTCGGAGTAGTACTTGTCGAAGAGATCCGGATGCTGATCTTGCAGCCATTCTTTGCACTTCGTAATATGCGAGCCGAACTCGCAGTATTCAACCGGGAATGTGCATACTGTGAGTCGAATCGGAATGGGCACGAATCGTCGCCGCAGAATGAGCATGATTACTCGCCTCCGCAATAGAGAACTTGTATCGGCGCGATCGTCTGAGATGGACCTGCTTCTTCTGATGCCATTGAGACTACAACAGGGTCGCTGCAATGTAAAGCAGAGAGATCTGAGGATGGTTGTAGTAGCAGCAGTCAAGATTCCAAGCTCCGTGGGGCAAATGCAAGCAAAGTCTCGCGACATTCCATGAAAGGTATCTCCGAGTCCTGCCCGAGGCGGCCCAGATCTTGCCGTGTACGACGTAGTCGGGCTGGAATTCAGGCTCGACCATCATGCCCTCACCTACTCGTATTCTCAAACTTAGCCAGCCTTCACCCTGTAGTCCGTGGCGTCTGCGGACATTTTTCACTTCGTCACCCCTTACTGTGGAGGGTTCTAGTTCAAACGTCGAGAAAGGTCGCCTCATTGACTGCTCTAGTGCCTCCGAAAATTGAACTCGATATGCTGACACACCTGATTGAGCCTGAAACACGCCTGGGATTTCTGAAATTCAGGCGATTCTGCTGAACAATTGTTGAAAATAGCTATCACCATGTTAAATACCACCAAATGATGTCCTCTCAGCATGTCTGGGCACTGGAAGAGTGGCTTTGGTGGCTGGAGTTGCTACCTCAGGTGCTTCAGGCGTTTCAGACGTGCCACTATTTTGATGACTGGGATTGACTACAAGAGCGATGCCGCGTTCAGGTTACTGGGAGTAAGTACAATCGCTACAATATTCTGTTGAACCTTTAGGTGTTAATACGTGTGTCTTAAGAAAGGCTTTTCCCGAATAAAGCTTTGTTTTCTCAAGGAAGACTGCTCCAAGAATGTTTACAGTGGTCATAAATAACTACCGTCTTGGCAGTCTCACACGCCTCCACGAGGGGCTGCGCACACTGTGACCCGTACAGCAAGCTCTCACCTCGACTCTCACTTACCAGACGTCGTTCACTATAATTCGCTATGGAGGGGACGTTCCTAGGGACAATGGTGCCCGGCCTGTTCAAGGTGTCGTGGTCGGGCTGGTCCAGCATGCTCCCACCCAAACCGAAATGGTCGATCGATCAAATTCCGGACCTATCAGGGAAGGTGATGATTGTCACGGGCGGAAATACAGGTATCGGTAAAGAGACAGTTAGGGTATGTCATAATCAAATTCTACACTAAGGGATTGAGGAGCGCTCTTATTGCTAACGTCGATGTTCAACAGGCATTGCTCCAACACAACGCAAAGGTGTATCTAGCAGGCAGAAATGCGGAAGCATGCGCAGCGGCGATTCGAGAGCTGAAGCGAGACACAGGACGAGAAGCTGTATTCTTACGTTTAGACCTGGCGGATCTTAAGTCCGTGAAGGCTACGGTGGAGGAGTTCATGAGGTCGACATTTCTCATCGCTTTACATCAAAACATGGCTTACCTTGTGTGTCTGATACAGTAAGGAAACCCAACTCCACGTCCTGTTCAATAATGCCGCAGCCATGTATCCAGACGTAGACTTGGTCACGGCGGACGGGTATGATCTCCAGTTCGGAACGAACGTGTTGGGTTCGCTCGTATTACAATCATCAATCAATGACAGGCGCTGATACACAGGCTAAGGCCATTTCTACTTCACAAAGCTCTTACTTCCAGTTATCCTCGGGACAATTAATACATCACCTCCCGGGACCGTTCGTGTAATACATACATCGTCGGTTGGACACGAGTTCGTCTCGGGAATTGACTTCGACACGTTTAGAGATGGGCCGCACAGAAGGAGACAAGACACCACCAGGCTGTATTTCCAGAGCAAATTTGTAAGTGAGCATATAATTGTAAAAAAAGACTGATGGAATCACAAGTACAGGGCAACGTGGTCGTTTCCGACGAATTCCATCGGCGATTTGCCGACCAAGGCCTGATATCTATCTCTTTGCACCCAGGTAACCTGAAAGTGAATACAGAGAGGCAGCCATCCTTGGGCTCGAAGTTAGTCAGCGTTTTCGTACGTAGATATCATATGTTATATTCTACTACATTATATACTGACTAGAGTCTAGAATCCGACGCTACCTGGTGCAACGTTGGGAGCGCTAACTCAGCTGTGGGCTGGAACAGCGCTCGTAGGGGCCGAGCTCGGGGGAAAGGTAAGCTTGCAAGCGCTCGCGGTGTCATGCCTAGAAGAGGATTCTTATGCCATGGATGGGTTATTACGTCCAGTACTGTGTACCATATGCACGCGTTGGAGCAGCAAACTCAAAGACAGACGACCCGGAATTAGGCAAGAAGTTATGGGATTGGTTGGAGGATCAAGTCAAGGATCTGTAGTCGGATATGACAATGGTTGGATGGCTCAAACCTGAGCCTGAGAGCAAGGATGAAGGACGAGAACGAGAACGAGTGTCAGCGGATCTAATTGGAATTGATTAGATAAGATGCCTTCGGTAACTGATTAGGAAGGCGATGAATTCGCGATCCGAGTCACTCATTCAGTGGCGTATAATTTGTTCACCAGAAATTTGTATATACTTCCTTCCGCATCTACACGTTCTCAGCAGTGACCAGTTGTATATTCTACACGGGGGACAACCTATACTCGACCCTCTGAACTTGGTCACTCATGACTGCTGGAACTTGGTCGCCGAGTTCATGGAAAGACAAGCCTGCTGCTCAGGTATATCTGTGCATTCGTGTTGTGGTAAATTCCTTATCGCTTACGAAACCCTTTGGAGGACGTTGTCTACCCCGATAATGAGAAGCTAAATAAGTGGGTTTTGCCGTCGTTGTGATCAACTCATCCCTTGACGTTTTCAAAGCGTTTTGAACAAGATCCGGACACTACCTCCTTTGGTTACGCCGTCGGAGGTTTGTACATGTAACTTTGCCGATTCGCTAAAGTGAGAGATTCATGTACTTAGATTGAAAGGCTCCGTCACAAATTGGGTCAAGTACAGCGCAACGAAGCCTTCCTTCTACACGCCGGAGATTGCGCTGAGAGCTTCGATGCATGCACACAGGTTTGTGAGCTCACTCTTGCCTCGAGGCCGGGAGTGACACTTTAAATAGGAAAATATCTCCGCCAAAATAGGACTCATACTATCATTCTCTCTCATTCTGATTTGGGGAGCCCGGATGCCAATTGTATGTACCAATATACTTGGAGAGCCGGCTATATTTAGTCGGTCATGCTCACTATTTTCAGGTCCGCATAGGTCGCATCGCTGGTCAGTATGCAAAGCCAAGAAGCAGTGCTACAGAGAGGATTGGGGATCGCGAAGTCCTTAGCTTCCGGCATGTATTTCGCCGTCGTCATTGACAATTACAAAGACTGACATTCCGTAAAGGGGTGACAATGTCAATGGGTGGGCTGAAATATTTCGCAGGTTTTGGTTGAAATGTACTGATTTTAGAGGAAGGCTCGACCCTAATGATCGAACACCGGATCCTGACCGATTGCTCAGGTGAGATTTACATCAGGCCTGTCTATATGCGCTTCGACTGATTTGCTCAGCGCATACTTCCACTCTACGACAACGCTCAACTATGTGCGCGGCCTTCTGACGTCTGATTTCGCATCTCTCCATCACCCCCGGGATTGGTCACTATCTCATGTCCGTTCACCTGCGCTTCGGTGAGGTTCCCATCACCTGGAACCATAACAATTTCGTTAATTACCCTTAAGGACGGAGTTTGAACGAATCGTAGAGGGCCTGTCTGATGCTCTCGACTTCACGCAGACGATTGGACTAGGCAGTCAGCATACGAGCTACGAGCAAGGCGGCGGACGCGGAGTGCTTGGAGAAGTGGATTTCTTCACTAGGTTTGTGGTGTTATATGTAACTTAGATCCCGAGTACTCATGTATTTATTCACAGCCATGAAGGACTTATGCTGGACTTCGAGGAGGCCATGACGCGCCAGTTCCCCACTCCATCCTCATTGTTATCTACCGCACAAGCGACCACATTTGATGGGGACGCTGTAACACCCCCCAACGTTTACTACAATACATCCGCGCACTTCCTTTGGATCGGCGACCGCACAAGGCAGTTGACTGGAGCCCACGTTGAGTATTTCAGAGGTATCAGAAATCCAATAGGTATCAAAGTAGGTCCGAGTATGGCGGCTGACGAACTTGTGCGATTGCTCGACAGTAAGTTTCATATCAGTCGATATATGCGCCCTATCTTCCTTATTTGACTCTCGTTAGTCGTCAATCCTGATCGCGAAGGGGGAAGGGTTACTCTGATCACTCGGTACGGCGCCGGAAAGGTAAAATTCGTACCAACTCTCAGATGGCGCGTACATGCTGAATCACATCTCAGATTGAGAGTCACCTCTCGAGTCACATCAGCGCTGTGCAAAAATCCGGACATCCAGTTGTTTGGATATGTGACCCTATGCATGGGAAGTGAGTATCATACAGGAGTCTGCACGCTGTGAAAGGGCATGGCATTAATCTACCGCGTAGTACGCTGACATCTTCGACTGGTCTCAAGACGCGTCACTTTGGCACAATCATCAGCGAGCTGACGTCTTGTCTCCGAATTCACGCGGAATGCGGCTCGCGTATGAACGGTGTAAGCCTTGAGTTCACGGGCGAGCTCAGCGAGGACGGATTCAGCGTAACGGAATGCCTGGGCGGAAGTATGGAACTCAGCGAAGACCAGCTGAGTTCTCGATACCAGGTATGGCTACCCGTATCAACATTGTCATTGCACTGACATCTATCTTTCGGGCTCTTAGTCGTTCTGCGATCCTCGACTGAACTTCGAGCAGTCTTTAGGTATTTCATCTTCGACTACTCTTGTCTATGGAGTGCTCATATTATCACTTAGATATCGCATTCTTGATCTCAAATTCCTTCAAGAAAGCCCGAGTGGGGCGTAAAGGTGCCGATAGTGACGTCCTTTATTCTGAACTTGGGGGACGGAAGTACCCTCAACCTTGAGCGAGAGTTCGTCGATAGGACTAGTAGCGATGCTGCAGAATAGATTCATCCGAGGAGAGCATCTCACAGTGAAGGACGAAGCATAACTCTGTATGTACTAAACGTGTGTCGCTTACGATAGCCTTGGTTTCAATCGTAGTGACGAATACCAGTCTTTATCTCCCCAGTCCAAACGATTCGCAATCTCCTGTTTCTGTCTAGCGAGAGCCGTCAACCTCAAGCTATTACCAGAGTGAAGACAATATCTGACGCGACGTATCTATTTGGCCAACGACATGCAGAGCTTGACTTCTTTATTAAGGCAACGCTGCTAAGCATAAATTCCCAATACGATAAAGCAACGCTTCATTTCTAGGCCGCTTGGTATCATAAGAGCTAAACAAATCGTACGTCGAACTGACGCTAACTAACGTTTATGATAGTTTTATGACCCCCATCTACTTCAATTTTAGTAGCCTAAGCAGGCCAATGATTATAAACCCTCGTGAGCTCGAGCGAAGTGTAGATTACGCACTCCCAGCCTTGACTACACACATATGTGTGTGTTTTCCATGGGCCCTGTGGTCATGAAAACGTCTATGTGCGAGAATCTGTCTTCGAGTCGTTCATCAAAATCCTTCCTACGGCGATAGACTATATTGAGCATCTCAACCCAGGGCGCCATGACTCGCTCTGCAACTGAAGTCCAGGTTTGTTGTGAGTGGCCAAACTGGTGCACCAGAGGAAGAGTGGAAGACTTACCAGTATGCTGCCCAAGAATGGTGCTGTATAATTTCAGGTTGTCCACTAGAACTTTAATTGGAAAATATGGCTTCAAATTTCAGCATCGGCTTTGTACTGGGACGCTGAACGGCGTCGTCGCGGTGCGTTCTAACGGAATACTTCTTCACGTGATCGCGTTGACCCCATGGTAAGCCAGGTAAGCGCCGCATTATGCTTTCTGAGGCTTTTCTCAAGCAAGGCTGGAAAATGAGTGTCGATTTGAGGATTTGAGCAGAGAAAAAGTATATACAGAAATCTTCTCTGGGGCTAAACTCGAGGTAGAATGAACGAGGATAACATGAGTCACCGCGCCAATCGACGCCATTGCTGGAGAAGGGTGTTGTATGACGTCACTGCGGATGAGAATGCCATTTAAGTCAATTGCTGCTTTCGACACCGTCCAACAACTCTACAGCCTCACCATGATCAGCTCGTGCATAATCCGCCTCAGGCCTTTCATTGTCGCCAAATCGGTTACGACTAGTTCGATCCGCTGTCTTCACTCCACTGCGCTTGCCAATGTCCAGCACGGACACGACTCTTCCCTCTCACAAGGCAATGTAAGCAAAGCAGACAGCTTGCATCCGGGGGACGTGCACGACCAAGCAGCTCGGTCAGGTCAAGCCAGCAAAGAAAAGGCCCCTCTCGACGCAGCATCTCCAGAGTCAGGGAAGAAAGCCTCTCGCGCGGGTTTGTCGGGAAATCCAGAGGGTGTCGGCTTCGCTGAGCAGGTAGGTTCAGCGAGCTCCACAGCCAACGGGGGCCCTCGAGCTTCTGAGGGGATGACAGGATCTGAGGAGAGTACGCCGCCAGGTTGCCTCGATTCCATGAAGAGCAAGCTTGGATTTCAAACCACGAGCGGGGAAGTCAAACAGAACCGCGGTAGGGGAGAGGGGGTCACGGGGACAGGATCTTTTAGTGGACTCAAAGAGAATAAAGGGCAAAGGAAGTTCCACACATCAGCAATGACATGCATGCCAGAGCGAACGAAAGGTCAGGCACCGGAGGCAAGCAGACAGCCCAAGGACCGTACGTACTCGGATCAGAATGAACACCTGGAACACAGGTCGGACACTGATGCTGGAGCATCCAAAGAGAAAGGAAACGCAGCAGAAGAACCCAGCCTTCCTTCACATGCGGTAAATTTCTGAACGTTATTAAGGATGCTGAGTGCATAGACTGACGCATGTATGCGCCTAGTTCAATGGCAACGCGAAATCTCCAGTATCCAGTCGCACATTCCACACATCTGCTCTCCGTTTTGACACCAAACACACTGCCGAATCGTACTTCAAGGATGTCGACGACTCCCCTCCACAGGACGCGAAGACACACCAAGTCGATAGTTCTGCAACCGGCGCCCAGGTAACACGCGGAGACGATTCGGATACCGGCGAGTTCTCTAGGAAGGGACCCCAGACTAAGGAGTACGCAACGGTGAGTACTGCTGCTGGCTTCATCGTCATTGAGGCTCTGACTGCGAGAACGTTAGACCAGTAAGAAACAGCCGTATGATACGCCCCCGTCTGAGGGGAAGCAGACGGAGACAAAGTTGCGATATGGTGGAACAGGCGGAACGGGGAAGCATGCAGGTGGAGAGTCGACTAGCAAGCCAGGCGAGGGTCCTGAAGGTGATTCGGCGGGTGGGCGAAAGCCTGAGGGCAGATGATCAATGAGCAGACGGCAGAATAAAGTCTTAGACCATTGTGTATGTGGGCGAGATGAAGACAGCATATCAGTACTTGTCGTTACGATGAAATGAATTTGTGACGCCTGTAAGTTTTTGTGACGCCCATTTCGCGCTCGCAACGGGTTTATACTGTACCCTTGCTTCCTTGGTAGCATGTGTTGAAATTCAGTGCGGGATTAGGAGGAAGCGAAAAGACAACACCGGCAGCGTCATATATCGCTGTGCTCACGGTCCACAGCAAAAGTCTACAATGACTTCGTTTCTCGGTTCCGAGTCACGAGTTGTCACGATGCTAACATATGATGTCGAGTGACTTGCGTTGCTCTCCCTTCCTCAGCCAGCTGGTCTTTTGATTTGCAAGACTCTTCTATGCAGCAGCTGCCACGAATGGTCGCGGTCGATGCACGCCCCAAACCCTACACTGACAGGGGTGTCGTAACTAGTTTGGCTCAATAGCTGCTGGGAAAATATGACTGATACACCCACTTTGGTGGCCTTCCTAATTGCCACCGTATTTCGTCCGAAATTTGTACTACCGGACCTGGTGCTGGCTCCAGCTCGATGCGTGCGAAAGGGGGTAGGTTACATGTTTGAGGACTTAGAACTCCAGAAAGCAGATGCTTCAGTCTTCGCAACGCTTGGCATTGGAATCGTGTTTATACACGAAGTGGATGAGCGGCAAGGGACTCGACGGTATGTTCCATGTCAGCTCCCGAGACTGCGAGGTCTCGTATGACGCCTCTGTGGGTGGCACAATTCTGCTGTTCCCGGCCGCCGCATTCTTAGGATAATGCCTCGTGTTGGGAGTGTTCCGTCGCATTTGTGAACCTGAACTTAGCCACCGCCGCTCTACGCGATATTCGCTCTAAGATCGTCGCTCCCTCTGGAAAACGTCACCGCTGCCTATCCCTCGCATATAGCTTCCCACGAGCATAACTCATCGTTGACGAGATCCATGACTTTACGGGAGCCATTGACGTTTGCAGTGACTTTTTCTACGTGGCGTAAATTTATTCGGCAGTGTTATCCCAAGATCACCACTGTTATGGAGCATACAACCATCAGTATTCAAGTTTGGCACCGGAATAGCGCTCCATTGTCCGGTTATCATCATAATCACCACAAATCTTCAAAACCTTGCAAAACATACAACTGAAAGACAGTAAGTGAGCCCGCTCTAACACCGTTAATGTCTGTGCAGCGAACATGCTTCTTCATACTACCCAGTTTCGGCACAATGCCAAGCCCTCTCTACAAGATACACGCTATCCGGGAGCAATAGGGTGGTCGTCTCTCGGCCACGATCTGAAGGAACGTATCCTGAGGTCTAAGGGTAAGCACCATGAGGATCCAGCGCCACTAGACTACTCACGCTAGTGGACCATCTTCTCTCTTCCCAGGCATGACTCATTGATTGCATACATGAGCAAAGGTTCATACCACTCATTTTCAGTGTCCGGATCGGAAAAGCTTTCGGTGTTCACATGAGGCTAGAATTCGGAATTCAACCTTGCTCGTGTTCTGCTCGTGCGCCGATTATAGCCGTCAACATCAAATAGACGCCCACAACTAGTGAGTAGCCGCAGAATGGTTGTTGACGTCATCCGAAAATGCGAACATAGATGCCAGCGTTTGGGCCATTAGCTCGACTTTGGACAATTTTATTTACGAGATCGAACCTACGAGGGAGGAGATGGATTCAAACGTGTCGACAAATGACCTCGGATTGTCCGTAGGCCGTTCCGTCTCGCGCCCCGGGACGGGAAGCCGGTGGAAGGTTTTTTCCATCAAATGGGCAAAACTAGCGGCCGAAAGCCCTTTATCGAGGCACATGAGACGCTCAGCATCGGGCGAGTCATTCGCCATAAAAACATCTCATGGATGTCTCATGTATCAGAGAGTCAGACTCGCCGACCTCTAGGCCGCGGTAATACCCCCACGAGAGGACCGCAAGGCCGCATCCCCGTGCTGTAGAGCTTCCATGTTACCGAGTTCGCAGATTCTGCGGTTAACGCTCTTGAGAGTATATAGACTCGCTCAGCCTGTCGCTCGTTTTCCAACAACACTGCAACTACAGGTCCTTAGAATCCACGAGGCCAGAACGGAAGACTAGATCACTATGGCGTCCGCAGGATATCTAATCTACTGTGGTGTAATGCCCTTGCTAAAGACGTACGTTTCTGCGCATTGTCGATATCCAGACTTGTGACACATGATTTGACTCGCGTCCGTATAGCTTCATTGCGATTTTTGTCGGGTACTTCTTGGGAAAATCTGGCAAATTTTCCGCGGAGGCGTCCAAGGGAGCTTCCCAGGTCTCTATGAACGTTGCGCTTCCCGCGCTTATCTTCTCCAATGTGGTTCCAGCATTCACTCCCGCAAACGTCTCCGCTCTGGGCCCGCTTTTCCTGACAGCATTCTCGTATCAAGCAATGGGTTTTACGATTGGCCTATTGATCCGGGAGTTTTTCTACGTGCCGCGGAATTTCTGGCAGGGAATCGTTGTCCTCTGTGGGATGAGCAATTGGGGAAATCTGCGTTAGTACCGTTGTAAGATTTTATGCGAGAGGTCTGGACATTCGCGCACTGACGTATGTGACAGCGAACGCCATTGTGTCTTCGGTTATGGAGCAGGCACCCTTCAACCCGAGTACTGACCCGGAGTGTAGGTTCCATCTTCTCGTGTGTTCGAGATGATGTCACTCATTGAAGCATGATTCTAGTGGGGGTGTCATATGTTTCCATCTTTATCGTGTCATATCATTTGGTCTTCTGGGTCGCCGGCGCAGCTCGTTCTCTGGCCTGGGACTACCTCCCCGATGTCCCACAAGGTGCAGAGGCAGAACGTCGTCGCACTTGGAAGGAAAAGCCAATCGGAGGGTTTATAGCGTACCGTCTCCTGCGTCTAAAAATCCCAAGCTCTGAGTCGCCCACGTCCTATGATAAGACGGATGTCGAGTCGACTCTGGAAAAGGAAAAGATCGATGGCTTCGAGACGACCACTCCGACCATCGCAGAGGAGCCAGATGTGAATGCTCTCCCTACCGACAATGATCCAGACATCCAGCTCGCACGGCGAACCTCTCGCCTTTCTGTGACCTCGTACCGTTCGCGGCACCCATCTGCAACGTACGGCGTCTCAACCACCCAGCCTCCGCTCCCGATTGCAGCTGCCTCGTCTGAAAGCATGAGTGTGGGCGCGCGTCCAGCTCCCCCGTCGTACCCTCGTCGGTTACTCCGGACGCTCCGCCCGCTATCCGCTGCAGTCACGCCGATTACTTGCTCGCTCGCCATCTCACTTCCCATTGCACTAATTACCGATCTCAAGGCACTCTTCGTAAGCGTTGCTTCCCAAGGTGGTCCTGACTGGGAGGGCCCCGACGGCAGGCCTCCACTAGCGTTCATTATAGACACTAGTAAGTCTTTCGCAGCTTTTCGTGAAGTTACCCATATTCTAACTTCATCCACCTAGCCGAATTCATTGGGGACTTGGCGGTCCCTCTCTCGCTCATCATCCTCGGGGCGTCGTTTGCGCGACTCAAGATCCCTCGCCCTCTCTCGCGCTTGCCCATCATGGCAATGCTCGCCGCGGCGTGCGCGAAGATGGTGCTGCTCCCTGTGATCGGCGTGTTCATGATCCAGGCCATGGTACATGGCGGCTTGATCGAACGGTCGGCGATCGCGGAGCGGTTCGTGGCCATGTTTCTGAGCGGGACTCCTGCTGCTGTCAAGTGCGTGTCTATCGAATGATGCGGTACAGTGGACTCATTAGCCGTACTTATTCGCGTGCATTCCTGGGTCTGGCACATACAGCCAGCTCATTGTTTCCTCCTTATATTCCCCGGATGGAGATGTCGATACCCTCTCAGTTTGTGTCATGGTCCCCTCAGATATACAGATAATGTAACTGACCCGCTGTGACGCAGGCGTTTCTTCTTGTGCAATGTAAGCAGACTCGAGCGTTGGCAAAACTGATTATCTAACCCTCTTCTCAGATGTGGGCATGTTCTTTTCCTCAGCGTAAGCAAAGCCGCCTTACAGTCCGATGTCTCCGGATGCTGACATGTACTTTTAAGGGCTTTGACCGCTGTGGCGCTTTTGCTGTTATAGACATACGAACCACCGGTTTTCGACGATACTGATGCCCGTGAAGACTCAAATATCTCGTCTGCCCATAGAGCTCATTGCACGCTTATTTGCATTCATGACTGGTCCTACATTTATGCCGCATTCCCATCCGCTCGCCGGTTATCCTGATGACGCAACGCTCAACTACTTTATCTACTGAGGGCAGAATACTTAATCTGTAGACACTGTCCGTGAAGGATGTATGTTCGATACGAGATGGAGGTAATATATGTACTGAACGTATAAAAGAGTCGTGCGTCGAATTCTCCCCATCTTAGCGGTGATAACTGGGCAACATCCAAGAAGTAAACTCTGCTTCAATTGGCTCATGTTGGGAATCTCTACGAGAGTGCACAATGGCAAATGAAGCAACGGAATCAAGTGCGGCATCTGGATGGCCTCTATGATGAGATGTGTTTTTTGTGTAGAAAGGGTGTGTATCCCGGTCGCCTTGGCCTTATCACGCGCATCTTCTGCTAGCCTTGTTTTTGTGCGTGCCTGCTTCCCCACAATCATCTCCGCGTTGTCGTTCTCTCCAGCTGTTCGGCACTGGACAACCTTCCTCTAAACCTCTCGAGGTAGGTTCAGAGATGGTATGGAGTCGCGGCTTCACCTGCGGTAGCAAATGGTTCGCAGTTTATCCAGATTGTCTTGCATGCCACTCCCATGGCCCTCTCACCGCGCTCGCTTGGGTTGCCTTATTTGGCCCGTTGTCAATTGCGGTTGCCATCTGCAATCTCACTTACCCAGTACCTCTCGGAGATGCTTTTGCGTCCTGGTACCCCTACCACTTTCTGCGACCGTGTATGGCGGGTCATGACATTTAGAAATGCTGAGACAATACGGTACAATATTTTGGTAGGTTCTTGGGTCGGGCCTGTGTGCGGTTCGATCGTTTTGACTGCGGATGCCAACTTGTCAGCGTAGGGCAAATAAAGGCAAAACTAGCGGCCAAAGCGAGACGCTCAGCATCGAGCCAGGGTATGCATCCTTGGAGCCCTTGATTTTCTCAATCTGCTCGATGGACTCGAGGCCAGTCGAGGCCGTGCAACTCAATCGAAAGCTGTGGCAGCGTCTCTTGAGATATCTGGAAATGCGCGGGAGGTGAGTACTGTCTTCACACCAGAAACATTCTCCAGGAATGACGCTCGAAGTGCATCCCTGGATACGTATCTTGATCGCTAGGGCGAGGGCGTTCCACTGAGTCACTGCTCTTAAGACGAGAGTCCAATGCAACTGCCACTACAGACCACCATGATGCAACTACTCCTTCTTGCATCCCTCGTACAGAGTGCTATCGCTCCCGCAGTCGACGATTTCACCCGCACATCGCTAATCCCTAGAGATTTCACCGATGTAGACCCATCATGCACGGATATCAGCAACTGCAGGACGTTATGGAGTATCATATATAGCTGCCTAGCAACTATATTTACATGCGTCTGGGTGGCCGTCCACAAGAATATCAGTCACCCGAAGCAGACACGGGTGGACGTTCTTCTGAATAGTGTGTTCACTGTGACGTTGGCGGTGTTGGCGCCAGAGTGGATGCTGGGGTGGGCTGTGCGGCAGCTTCTGGCAGCGCGGATTCTTGCAAAGAAGCTTAACATACTCGGAGAGAGGGCCAAAGGCGAATGGAAGAGGGAAAGATCGGAACTGTCTATGCAAGATGGAACAGACATGGACAATGAAATCATCCTGCGTTCGGGGGAAAGATCGGAGCTACTCGTGCAGGATGGAGCAGATGTTGGTGAAACCACTCTGGATCAAGAGGAGAAGGAGAGGCTTAAGATGCTTCGGACAAGTAAGTCAGTTATCAATAAAATTCATACATCTGCTGACGTCGAACATGAAGGAGAGACGGAAGAGAGTCTAGGGAGGAGGGATGATGGTGAGGCATGTCATAACATTATGAGATATTTTGCTCACGCTCGCGGCAAAACACAGCATGGTCAATCACTCATGGATTCTTCGTAATCATGGGAGGCTTCCAGTTTTACAAAGATGGTGATGCGCTCTACCCATTATCCCCCGACGACGTCCTCGCGCTCGTCAAGGAAGGCTCTCTCATCCCACCCACCAAGGACGAAATTAAATCCTGGAGTAAGGGAGACTGGTTTTCAAAAGGCATAGCGATTCTACAGACCCTCTGGTTTGTGATCCAATGCATTGCGCGCCGAGCTGAGGGCTTGCCAATTACGACACTCGAGGTCATGACACTCGCGTACACGGTCTTTACCGTCGCCATGTACGCCGTCTGGTGGCACAAGCCCCTTAACGTCAAATATCCTGTCCGCATTCCATCCCGCCTCGATCCACATCCTCAACCAGAGAATAGGCCCGGGTATTGGATCACTAAGGACTGGTGGGAGAAATTTGGGAGCTTCGTGCTGGGTACACAGGACAGAGGGAGGAATCTGCGCCAAGATAAGCACGTTCTGACCTTCTATTCTGGAGTTTGGGAGAGCGGCAACGGAAATATGAGTGGAATCCTCGCGCTCACCTTGGTGATGCTCGTCACGATGGTGTTCGGAGGTATGCACTGTATTGCGTGGTCGTATGCATTTCCATCACACGTGGAGACGCTGATCTGGCGGACGTCTGCGCTGGTTATAACGACGTTGCCCGCGGTGGCGTCTATTCCTTTCCTGTTGACTTCCGTAATTGAATCTGGACTGGCTTGGAACTCTATTTCAGCACTAACAGCGCTCTCGGCAATGACACCAGGAGTGCCCATGGTCATCTTGTTCGGACTCATGTCATTCCGATTTGTGATGTTTGGGGCTGTCCCGTTATACTGTGTAGCCCGCATTCTTTTGCTCGTTCTCTCGTTCATGCCACTAAGGGCTCTCCCTGCGACAGCGTACCAAGATATCCAGTGGACGTCTTTTATTCCCCATATCTAGTTCCATATTTACAGCGTGTATCTACGGATAATGGCTGGCGAGTAACAGTGTCCTAACTTAAACTCAATATAGCCGCCAATGTGGACAGCGACTAGCGGCAAGACTAGTTGCCAAGAGCCCTATATGATCAATGCACATGAGAGACCCTTAGCATCGAGTAGAGGTGTGTATCCTCACTCACACTCGCTCTACTCAAGAATTTTGATGAAATCGAGACCGTACGTGGCGAAGGTCCTTGACACGTCTTCTTTGACAGTGGGTGTTGATGGATTGTTCAGCGCGACGACCTCATGTCAGGAGCTGCCTTCACGTACCAGGACGATTCCTCGAAAATGGTGCGGTTTGCCAGTGCATTGTTCAGTGCGGCAACCGCGAGTCACAACGTGCCTTCACGTACCAGAACAGTTCTCCGAAAATGGTGTAGTTCTTGGCTGAACCGAAGTCCATTTCTTGATTCGTGAGGCTGCAAAACATATTCCGCAGCAAAGCAACTAATATCCAAGAGCACAGTATCCGGATTGCTAGCACGGGGATGGTCTGCTTCGCCGCTTATAACCCAAGGGTTCAAAGCAGCTACCATCACAGACCGCCACGATATTCTTGCTGCTACTCTTGCTCACGTATCTCGCTCAGACAGCCATCGCTCCTCCAATCGGCGATTCCCCTTCCACATCCCTAGTTTTCAGAGCTATCACCAATGTAGATCCGTCATGCACCGACATCAGCAGCTGCAGGACGCTATGGAGCATCATATACAGCTGCCTTGCGACCATATTTGCATGCGTCTGGGTGGCCATCCACAAGAATTTCAGTCATCCGAAGCAGACGTCGGTCGATGTTGTCCTGGATAAAGTGTTTATCGTGGCGCTGGCAGTGTTGGCGCCAGAGTGGATCCTGGGGTGGGCTGTACGGCAGCTTCTGATGGCACGGAATCTTGCACAAAAGCTGAATGAATGTGCCAAAAGCAGACAGAAAGAGGAAAGGTTGAAACTGTCTATGCGGGATGGACCAGATGACGATGAAGTAAAGTTGCATGCAGAGGAAAGATCGGAGTTGCCTGTGCAGGACAGAGCAAACGACGATGAAGCCACTCTACGTTCAGAGGAAAGATCGGAGCTACTTGCGCAGGACGGAGCAGATGACAATAAAGCCAAGACGCATCCAGGGGAGAAGGAGGAGAAACTCAAGATCCTTTTGATGAGTAAGTCAGCTCTCCCAAGGAAACCCATACATATTTTGACCTTTCGAACACGAAGGAGAGACCGAAAAGTGTCTAGGGAGGACGGATGATGGTGAGGCACCTCATAACATTATGAAAGATGTTGCTTACGATCAGACACAGCATGGACAGTCACCCATGGATTCTTCGTAATTATGGGGGGCTTCCGATTCTATAAAGATGGCAAGCCACTCTATCCATTATCCCCCGACGACGTCCTGGCACTCGTCAAGAAAGGCTCTCTCATCCCACCTACCAAGGACGAAATTAAAGGCTGGAGCAAGAGCGACTGGCTCTCAAAGGGCATCGCGATTCTGCAGACCCTCTGGTTTGTAATCCAATGCATTGCGCGCCGAGTAGAGGGTTTGCCAATCACGACGCTCGAGGTCATGACGCTCGCGTATACAGCCTTTACCGTCGCCATGTACGCCGTCTGGTGGCACAAGCCCCTTGACGTTGAGTGCCCCGTCCGCATTCCGTACTGCCTCGATCCACATCCTCATTCGGAGGATGAGCCCGGAGAGTGGACCACAGAAATGTGGATGGGGCGACTTGCGATGTTCGTGACGGGCATACAGGACGATGAGAGGAATATGCGCCAAATTAAGCATGCTTTGACCTTTTATTACGGAATTTTGGAGAGTAGCGATGAAGAGGGCTACATGATAGGTGGCGCGCTGTGCTTGGCAATGGTGGTGACGATGGTGTTCGGAGGTGTGCACTGTATTGCGTGGTCGTATGCGTTCCCGTCCCACCTGGAGATGCTCATCTGGCGGACGTCTGCGCTGGCTATAACAGCGTTGCCTCCTAGTATGGCGCTGCTTGTCGTCATCGGGGCATCCATCGATTCGATCGAGGGGGGCTCGGTTCTAGTACATATCATACGGACGTCCGTGCGTTGGCTTACAATTGTCGTAATGATTGGAGACATCCCGTTGTACTGCGTGGCGCGCCTTCTTTTGCTCGTTCTCTCGTTCACGCCACTAAGGGCTCTCCCTGCGGCAGCATACCAGAATGTCCAGTGGACTTCATTCATTCCACATATCTAGTGTCATACTTAGTGTCACGTACCTACGCATACGGATCTCTCAATAGGACTCGGATAGCCAGACCCCTTGCAAAGGAGCTGGAAATCGGCCTGCTTGAGCTCTCCCGGGAGGCTCAATGCGGTCATAATTACTCGAAACTCGTCGCGCTGTAAATGCCTTCTGTTGATTCACATTTTGTAAATATGCACTTGCTGTCTGTATGTACTGAACATATGTGGCCCACAGTCCGCCATTTTGTCCCGTCTATTGTCCCGTCTACTCGTCGTAATTTGTCTCGGGTAAGTACTTTTTGGGATTAAAATGTGACACATTTCTCGATATCATGCTGACACAGCCGAGACATGAATAAAGTAAAGGGGGGAAGGCATACGAACACATCTAGCAGATGACATCAGCTGCTCAAAAGGCGCACGAATAGGCTTGCGAATTGACGAATGATATTTTCAGGATTGAATACTGTACATATGCATACTCCAATTGATAGTACACCAAAAATCTCACCGAACGCACCGAATCCAATGAATACTCCACATCCGTCTGTGCCGTACGCTCAGCCCCTGCGTGTCATCACAGCTCTTTCGGCGGCACAAACTCGGGGATCAGTCCCCATTCAAAGTGTTCGCTCTTGAACGCCTCCAACACTTCAGCCGGGAGCAGCTGCATGTAATTATCTGGAATCATCGACGCGCACTTGTCGACCCCGGGCTTGCAGCTTATTCGCGCTCGCGCCGCCGCGAAATCTGGCGGTCCCGATTGGATTTGTGACGCGGGTTGCAACTAAGCAGGAGCAGCTCCACACGCAGACGTTGCCTGTGCAGGAGCCCAACCAAACGCGGATGCAGGTTTTGACGACGCTGCAGAGCCGAATGCAGACACGGGCTGTTGAGTGGACGATCCAGACACGGACGTCGTCGCCCTGGTGGCACAGGTTGACTCTTGTATCGAGTTTGAGGTGTGCCCTTGTCACTATGTTATGGTCTTGTCGATGTTGACCGATCGTGCCATATGAGCGTCAATACGACTGTTAGGATGGATAGGATGCTCTGGGTAGTGAGCGGAAGGCCGTACCTGGAGTCCGGAGAGGACTGGGACGGTGCCTTGCGTTCGCTCCCCCCCGTGGTGCGGGTGTGGGTGGCAGCTGCTACACCAGCCGATGTTGGACAGGGGCCTGGTGGGTATCCAGTTACTCTCCAAGTGGCGTTCATGGCAGATTGTGCAAGTAGGCTGCATGACGCGTAGTTAGCGTACGTACTAACGTACTAGGCCCCTCTACCGGGTCGAGTGTTACACGGTCTTTACCACCTCTCCATGTGTAGATGATCAACAGCCAGATCTTTCTTTGTGAAATCTGACTCAGAGCCGGGTCATCATCGAGTCATCGCCCGAGTGAAGCATATCACAGTCGCCCGGAATCATTCCACATTATCAGACATTTGATACGGCGCGACAACACAATCTCACAACGCGCCACATCCCGCAAGTGCGAGTCACAGAGCAAACGAACGGCAATATTACAGTAACATTATTCTAAGAATACAGTAATCCTGGCTAGTGATAGTAATAGTAATATGAACCGCAGACGAACTATAGACACGCCTACACTGGGCCTCTATCTACGGCGAGGATAAATATTATACGAAACTCGGCTATTGATATAGTGGGAGCGAACGACTGGTACAGATGTGCGCTGGTGGCACGGAGCAACCGCGTGGGTTCGAAAGAATGCAATGCGCCGCGCGGCGGGCACGAGAACAACGTAGACGACAACTCACTCCTCCCCGACCTCTCAACACGAAAGAGCCTGCGCTGTGCCCCTGGCTGGCCTAGCACTCGACGTCAAAATCCAGATCCCGCGCGACGTCCTCCCACTCGGCCATCTCCCGCTCCACGCGTGCCTGGTGCGCGCGCACATGCTCGTACGTGACGTTCCCGAGCATGAGGTACAGCGGGAGCTGCTTCCCGCGCGCGCTGCGCTCCCCGCGCACCGCGTCGACGAGCACCTCCATCGCCTTCGCGGGGTCCCCGCGCGCGTGCTTCCCGACGTCCGCAAACCGCTCGACCGCCGCGGTGCGCAGCGCGTCGTACTCGGGGATGTGCGTGTGCTGCGTGTACGGCACCGCGTGCACGTTCTCCGTGCGGAACGCGCCCGGCGCGCAGATGGTCACGCGCACGTTGTGCTGCGCGAGCTCGGTCGCGTACGTCTCGCCGAGGGCTGTCCGCATCACGCCAGTGTCAGCCGGACCGGGGGCGCGCAGCAGGACGCGGAAACGACGCACCGTGGATGGCAGCCTTGGAGGCGACGTAGTAGCCTGCGATCTGGTGGTGGACCCGCCGCTCAGCATCCCGCCCCTTATCCCGAGCCAAAGCAGCCGGAATACTCACAGGTGTGTCGGCCTTCCATACCGAGCGGCTGCCCATCATGACGACGGTGCCGGTGCGCCGTGCGCGCATGTGTGGCAGAACGGCGTTGGTGACGTTGATCACGCCAAACACATTCGTCTGGAACTGTGTCATGGCCGCAGTGGCGCTGCGACAACCCACGGGTCAGCGTTCGTCGACGTCCGGGCACGGAGCGGGAGCAGACTCACCCGCCCTCCTCGAGAAGCGACTTGAGACCGTAGCCAGCGTTGTTGACGAGGACATCGATGCGACCCCAGAATTCGACGGCAGCGTGGACGGCGCGCTGGATGGTGTCGAAACTGTCGGTGACGTCGAGGGCAATGATACGGAGGCGGGACCGGTCGCCGCTGGGGAGACTGAACTTTTCGAGGCTGCGTACGGTCGCGATGACATAGTCGCCTCGGGCGAGGACGCTCGCGACCAGTCGCTTGCCGAAGCCAGAGGATGTGCCTAGGGCGAAAGGTAAGCGAGGGAGGGGAGCAGAGAGATGTGCTCCCGACGCGCACCAGTGATCAGCCAAACCTTGCGTTGGTCTTCCGTTTGCATGATCATCGTTAAGAGAGTGGTAGGACTGTGATAAGGATAGTGGCTGTCTTTTAGTCTGCGGATGCCGCGACTGGTATGGGGACAGGATGGGGTGGATGAGGGTGCTTATATGCCAAACTCTGGTCCCAGTCTGGGGCGCGCGGATCGGAACTTACTCGCGCTCTAGCGCTCCATTGCTCATCGTCAGGGCGCGAAGGACTCCATCATGAATCGATGCAGTGCAGACGAAAACGTGGCCGGGGTGACACCGGTGGGAGGTTACGGCGGCTGGAAGGGGCACGGACAAGAAGCGCTCCGCTCCGTCAATGTTCGGCACTTGGCACGGGCCAGGCGATGGCCAACGAGTGCAGGCAAGAAGAGGGTCGTGGCAGAATCGGGAAACAAGGGGGACGGCGAGGAAGATGGCGGTGTTCGCACTCAATAGACGGGACCGCTGAGCTGGCGAGCAACCACCTTCAATCCTCATCTCGATCCATGTTCGGCATCAGTAATACCATGGCAGTCGTACGCGCCCATACATAACAATTCTGGAGCCCGCGACAAATGATGGGACGCGTTGCTAGCGTTGCCGGCAGCCATGCTCAGTGCTCCTCGAGGGCGAGCACGGTGCGCGTGGAGGCGTGAGTGGTCGGTGCCTGGCGTGTCGATGACTGCGCGCCGCGCCGCGCCACTCGGGGATGACCTGCGAGGGCACTGCACGCGGCGTTTGTTCCCAACCTTACTTCGGCGGATGCTATGGCACCGCATCGGCCTTGTGCCCAAATCTTCCGCACGCGCGGACACGGCCGACTTGAAACCATGGAGGAATGCAGATGTGTTTCGCAGAGACGGCCCAGCGCCACTTTCGGGGTCGGTGGAACCTGCGAGCCCCGTCAGAACGGCGCTCGTGACACAGTGGGCTGCCACGGAGGACGATTTGAAAGACAAGCTCAGACACCGTTCGGGATCGCTCCATTGAATCCACCCACGACACCATTGCAGCGACACATGCGCCGAACGAACTGCTGTCAACTGACAAGGCCACTATCAGGGTTGCGCTGGGAGGCCGCCGTCCGAACTTGGAAATTAACCGGCCGAGGCGGTCGATTGCATACATTTAATCTACGATGGACACCGACAGGTACAGGCAGCCCCAGAGAAGCGGACGCACCCTACCCAGGACGCACGGGAGAAAAACCACGCGCTGCGGACCGGCGTGGCAGGGTGCTAATCTTGCCATGAGAACGCGCTGCAGGCGAGTGGGCGAGACGGCGAAAGGGATATGTGCGCAACGGTCTCCGCGGAGGTCGCGTACGCATGTGACGGCCTGGATTGCAGAGAGAGAGAGGAGAAGAGCGGGCTAGCGAACGCGGGGGAAGCAGCATTTGGGCAGAACTGGGCATCTGACAGGTGGGTGGGTGGGGGTTTGACAACGCTGGGACGGTCTGGAGTCCGAGTCGTTGGCTCGAAAGACAGACGACACGAACGAAGACGAGCAGGTCCATGCAGGCGGCCGGGGACGGGGGATCGAGAGAGGTGAGATACGAGAAGAGGGCATGAATCCGGAGAAATTGGAGATGAAATGGGACCACGACCCTGCACTGTCCTCCCAGCCGAGCAGGGGCCCACATCGTCGCCAGCAGCAAGCCTAGCAGGTCGTCCTCTGTCCGACGGGCTCGTAGCCTCGTGTGCGGACGGTACGGCAAGTGTGACTCCACGTGACCCACCTCGGACGACCCGAGTCTCTCTCGACTCTGCGAGGCTGGCTTCTAGAGCTATCAGATATGCGGCCATCCGTCAGAGGCTGGGTAAAAGCTTTCCTCACGATTATCGTCAATCTGGTCGACGCCAACGGCTGTTCTGATTCCTGCAGTCCAGTGGACCCCACATGAATCTCGGTTGAATGTGTTCATCTCATCATGGCACTATCTCGGAATGTTGTGTCAGCAAAGTCCAAGTGCCAGCTGCTAGCAGCTTGAAAGCTCGCCAGTCGGTTCTTTCTCTCATGGCCGGCAAACTCGCAGGCCTCGGTTGTTGATTCCACTCAGGCGGCGTCGGCGTCGGCATCGGGATTTGCCGGCTGCTATCTCCATCTATCTGCAGCCTGAACATGAACGCTGGTTCCAACTTCCATGCAGAGATGGCCTCGCTGCCACAGACCCCCCTGCCTCTCGTCCGACCGTCTGTTCTGTCCGCACACGAGGTCATCAAGCCGCACATACATCACACCCCCGTGTTCACGTCGTCCTCCCTCTCGGCCACCCTCCCAGAGCAGAATGTCCTCTACTTCAAGGCAGAGAACATGCAAAAGGGCGGCGCATTCAAGTACCGCGGGGCGAGCTACAGCCTCAGCTGCCTGACCGAGCAGGAGCTCGCAAACGGCGTGTGCACCCACAGCTCAGGCAAGCGTCCCGATCGCACAGATCCCCGCGCCTCGCCTCCCCCCCAGGGGAGACTGACGTCCCCGCGCAGGAAACCACGCCGGGGCGCTCGCGCTCGCCGCCAAGCAGCGCGGCGCAAAGTGCTACGTCGTGATGGTGCGGCCCAGCGATCCTCTGCCCGCCCGCCCGCTGACCCGCCGTGCGCCCCAGCCCAGCGACTCCGCGCAGCCCAAGATCGACGCG